CAGAAGGGGGCATCTTTGCAAACACGCCTGGCTAGCTTCCTCTTCTCTTACCGAAACACCCTTCACACTGTAACAGATCAGACGCCTGCTACCTTGTTCTTGAAACGCCAACCTCGCACCAAACTATCCTTGCTACAACCTAACCTGACCCAACTTGTTGAAGAAAAAACAAAGGATGGAGAAAGAACAGCGTGACCAGGGTCGCCAGAAGACCAGAGAATTCCTACCTGGGGATTAGGTGTTAGTCAGAAATTTCCGTGGGAAGAATAAGTGGAATAGAGGAACTGTTCTCCTTCACCTAGGTCCACTTGCCTATCAGATAAAGGTTGGGGATCGAATGTGTCACGTACATGTCGATCACCTATTGTCTGCTGGGGATTCCCATAGCGACAGCAATATTGGGGTAGCCCCACAGTGGAGGTATCTTTTCCTGTGTCGACAACAGTACTCCCTACCATGATTCCAACTGGGGATACCAGTACTCCTGGTGAATGTCCCCTTACTGAACCAAGAGAGTTACCTGCATCCCAACCCACCCTGTCTACTACACCAGGAAGAGCTGACAGACCAAAAAGGACAATAAGGCCTCCAGAACGATTGAACTTACAAGGAACTTCAGAACTTTTAGTAACTTGTCGAATTGTGGACATTTTCTTTGCTAAGGGAGGAGGTGATGTTGTATGTTGGGCTACCTGTGCCCTTTTTACCATATAAGGAAAACCTCGTGGTGAGCTCGAGCGAGCAATAACTGAGAGCGACCAACCATCACTGTTACTGTGTTTAACGGTAGTTTATTTAATGTTATACTTTCGAATATTACAACGACGTTCAGCCCCACGCTGCTACAAACCGAGACTACCTTGCGAGTAGGTCCTAAAATTGTTACGAGCCCCTTTTATGAACGTTTCTTTGTCCACAAATAACTTTGAGGCTTCAAGTATCACTAGGTGGAGTGGGGTCTGTGGGGGTCATTTGCATGGGAATTTCCTAGGGTCTGAAAAAGAGAAAAGAAAGTTAGAAAAAAGTAGCTGTCAATAAGAACATGAAGAATTTCTTCAGTACCAGGTGTCTAAAACGCCATCATCCTGCTATGAATTCAGGTTACATATCAGTGGAAGAAATAAACTTGGGAAAAAAATTGACTGTTTGATGCCTGTAATCTGCCTTATTGGATTTAGGGTCAATTCCATTCTCCCTCTTAGGATCTGGGGTCATTTGCCACAGTTCGGTCTTTTAAGATTTGGAGTCATTTTCCACTCTTCTGTCTTTCCAGCTTTTAGGCTTGCCCAAGAATTACATGTAACATGAATAATCAGGCTTTAGCAGATTAATTTATAAAGTATGAAGGTTCCCAGAATGTAAATGTTGTGTTTGAAAGGGTAAATATATTATCAAAGACTTTAAGGGGCATTGAAAATGGATATGATTATTTTTTGAGAGATTTTACATGGAAAATGGAGACATCCTTAGGTACATGTATTTTTTTTCGTTGTTTTTGCAATTCAGATGCTCCTCATGGCCACTATGAGATTGAGTTCAAAGATGTTCATGTACCAGCTTGTAATGTTATCTTGGGTATGTTCATACACAGGTTACTCTTAATTTGTTTTGTTTTTTTTAACCTTTACTCTTAGTTACACCAAATTCTAGGAAACAATAAAAATAGTCTTGGAATGCATATTGGTACTGACAGAGCACAATATTTATACATGTAACATTAAACAGAAATTGATGTTACGTAATGACGTCAATGAAGGCTGTTGATTGAACTTGCAGAACACCAGCAGGTTACTCGTTGGCATCTATTATTTGTTTTCTTAAGTTTAGAAAGGAATAGCTCGTGAACATTGATCACTTGCTAGAATAGTGCAACTGGCCCTTTAAAATAACACACTCGCTCACTTCTTGGCTAATATGACAAACTTCCATACCATGTTGAATTCAAGGCATAGTATTTCGCATCGCGCTTACTACAGAAATTCAAATAGGGTGTTATTAGATACAAAATAATCTGTTTTAGATATCAAGTGCAAATCTGGAATGACAAAATGCTCCCAAAAAAACAATAAAGGGGAAGTACGGCCTAGAAAAAGTTTATCTCAGTAAGAAGACTTTTTCCTAGGAAGTTTGAAAATAACTGCCATTTTGTCCTTGCATTAGCGACAAGAGTGCTTTGAAGTTGCCCTTTTTTACAACGTTCGTGGTTAGAGACACGCCATCTTGGATGTTACGTACATTAATTATGACATAGCATCAGTCAAACACAAACTTTTTTCGACGTTTTGTCCTTGATGACCTGTTTGACCTTTGTGAGAACTGTTATGAACAGTTCTAGTTTCGTTGCATGACTTTGAACAATGCGTGATTATCGAAGTTTGAACAATGCGTGATTATCGAAATTTTCGTGATTATTTTTCTATGCTTCTCTATGGTTTTAGATAGTTAAGCGATTGCGGTTTCTTATATATGACAGCTTATAAAAAGTTCGTTTTCCTTTATTGACTGTTCATGAATAGTTCGTTTTAAGACTAGATTATTTAGGTTTTGATTTCAATTGCGATCTTTAATCTTTATACTCCAAGGCAGCAAAAAAACTATGCTAGGATTTTCAAAATAATATCATAAAAAATAATAATTTAAAAAACAATGGCACGAAGTAATGAACAACAATCAGTGAAAACTCTTGATAT